GTTGTGGGCGCCTCTCCTGGGCCCAAGGGGGCCCAGGAGGGCCCAGGCGTGTGCTATCTGTCTGGCCCGCTCCTTTCCTCCTCCTCCTCCTCCTCCTCCTCCTCCTCCACCTCCTCTCTCTTCCTCCTCCTCTTTCTCCTCTCTCTCCCCCTCCTCCTCCTCCTCCTCATCGCCTTCATCCACGCCGGTTGTGAGGATGTCCCGAGCGGCGGCGCCGCGGTTGCGAGGATGCCCCGAGTGGCGGCGCCGCGGTTGCGAGGATGTCCCGAGCGGCGGCTCCGCGATTGCGAAGATGTTTCGAGCGGCGGCGCCGCGGTTGCGAGGATGCATCGAGCGGCGGCGCCGCGGCTGCGAGGATGTCTCGAGCGGCGGCGCCGCGATTGTGAGGATGTCTCGAGCGGCGGCGCCGCGGTTGCGAGGATGTCTCGAGCGGCGGCGCCATGCCTTCCCCCCGCCTTGCCTCCTCTTGAGCGCGTGCCATCTGAAGTTTCCTCTCTGTGCTGTCCCTCTGGACTGTCCTCGGGTGAGGACACGCGCTCTATCTGATATGCACAGGTTCGGGGGTCTGGGGGTCATGCGGTGCCATGTGTTCTGGCTGCTTCTGCGCTCGATCTGATCGTTAGGGAGTATAATGATGGTGATGCTGATGATTGTGATGATGCTGATGATGCTGATGATGGTGATGGTGATGATGTTGATGATGCTGCTGTTGATGATGATGCTGATGATGACGACGCTGATGCTGATGCTGATGTTGATGTTGATGTTGATGCTGATGATGATGGTGATGGTGATGGTGATGATGATGGTGGTGATGATGAAGACGATGATGATGATAACGATGATGGTGGTCGGGGTGATAGATGATGATGACGACGACGAGATGAGGATGATGATGATGATGATGATGCTGATGATGTTGATGATGACGATGATGATGATGATGATGATGATGATGATGATGATGATGATGATGATGATGATGATGATGATGATGATGATGATGATGATGATGATGATGATGATGATTATTATTATTAGTATTATTATTATTACTATTATTATTATTATTATTATTATTATTATTATTATTATTATTATTATTATTATTATTTTTATTACTATTATTATTATTATTATTATTATGATTATTATTATTGTGATGATTGTGATGATGGTGGTGGTGTTTAGGATCATGATATCCTTGCGTGGTAGCCTGCCGTACTTACGGTTAGAAATCAGAGCGCCCTTCTGCTCATTGGTCCGCGCTTCTGTCCGAGTTCCGCACGCACAACGCTGCGCCCTCGTCCTCGTCCTACTTCCCCTTCGTCATGCTCTTCCTCATCCCCGTCCTCGTCGCCTTTTTTCCTCCCACGCCTCCTCTCTCCCTCTCTCTGGCTCTTGTCCTCGTCACTTCTCCTTCCTTGTCCTTGTTTTCGTGAACGTCCTCGTTCTCCCTCCTTTCCTAATGGAGCTTGGCGGGCCATACCGGGGAGGGAGCTGAAGGAAAGAGGAGGAGGAGGAGGAGGAGGAGGTTCTCCCCCCCCTCCTTACTCCCTGGATCCCCTGAGCCCTTTAGATCAACCCAGCAGTGCCCTGCTCCCTCACCCCCCTTCCCACCCCCCCCGTCCCTTGCCCCATCCCTCCCTCCCTCCCCCCCCTGGCTCCCCTTCGAGCCTCGAGCCCTCGCTCCCCCCCTCGCTCCCCCTCGAGATGCTTCGAGCGAGCATCCTCGAGCCCTCCTCCTCCTCCTCCTCCTCGTCCGCCTCGTCCTCCTCCTCCTCCTTCTCCTTCTCCTCCTCCTCCTGATCCGCCTCGCTCGATCAAATCGGATGCTCTGCCGCCGTTTGGCTTCAGCGCCGGCACGGGCAAACAGTATATTGCTGAGTGAAAAGCGCACAGTTCTACATCGCGTTGCTGCCATGCTTTTTCTCGTCAAGCTTCCCCCCCCCGCGGTTCTAGTGTGTAGCGGAGCTGGGAGCGATCCCAACTCGCGATCCAGGGAACGTGCGCACACTGCGATGTGGACGCATGTTTGCGTTTGCCTTCACCTCCGCATGGGAACCACGTTCCAATCCCTGAACTTTCTGTGCTTCTGGCTGGTCTGCAAGCCGACGGGTACTTCGCCCCGGACGCACATAGACAAGCAACATCGTTCGAGGCTTGAGCCCCTTAATTTTTCTACCGTCAGGGCAAAGCAACTGCAGGATACGCGATTTGGAACGCCAGCCCACGGGAACGCCATGACGTTTCCCACAACCCATCGCACCCCACAGGTCGCCGAGGTTTCGCGTCGGGCATGACAGCGAGGCTCCTGCTTGGGCTAGTACCGTGTGTCACGATGTGTGCGACACTGCTGGCCGTCCTCAGTGCGAGCACGTCGCACCATTCGAGTGGAGCGCTTAACATTCATTCGCCATTCTCACCACTTTGGGGTGCCCCCAGCTTCGACATGGTCCTCACGCAGGCCCGAACCCCAAGGCGACTCCGCAGCTGTCGCCGTGGTGGAGCCTTATCCAGGATGATTTCCAGCTTGACGTTCTTGGGCAGCATGTTCCAGTTCTTCGTGGTCGCCTTTACTTGGCTCGCTGGCATGGTGCCTGGTGGAGCCGCCCCACAGGGCGGCGGAGTCGGTCGTGGTGGGATCACGTGTCGCCAGTCGCCCTCATTGTCACCCGAGCGCGAGTCAGCGTATCTTCCTCGCCACTGGGAATAGGACTTGCTCGCGTGGGACGTGTTCGCCACGGACATGGACAGCGCTCAGCAGGACGCTGCCATCACCCTCAACCTTGGCGAAGCCGCTCGAGAGCTCACGCGCTCCATGAACTTCGCGGAGATGACGGAGGGATGCATGGTCAATTGCTAGCATGAGGATGCCATGACCAACCTCATTGCGAACTTCCTCACCCAGTTTGCCCCGCTCGGCGAGGAGCCATTCGGTTCCTCCAGGCCACCCGCGAGCTCTTCGAGTGCGCGCGTCGCCGCAACCGGACCGCCGACGCGCGGCTCTCGTAGTTTCTTGCGCTGCGATTCCAGGCTGCGCAAAATTGTAGATCTGCGATGTCCTGGAAAGGCTACAGCTGCTTTCTCCTCCAAGCGGTCGGCGTCACAGCTGGCCAACTCATGATGCTATCCCAGCCCCGTGGCAGCCGATGCCCGGCCGCGGAGCTTGAGTTCGAAACTCGCGCAACGATGCGCAGGCGCGTGGGTCGTCGCCCGCGCCCTCAGTTCGCCGCCGTCGTTCGACGGCCACGTGGGCATGACAGACGACAACAGTATCGACGCGCCCGCGACGGACCCCTGGCGCGCTGGGGGCCCCCATCCCTGGGCAGCCAGCGCCGCCGCGCTCCCTGGTGCCAGAGGCGCCGTGAGTTGCGCCGCCAGTCCGTCGCAGAGCGCCTCGTCGCCTCGGGCTGCGCACCCAGCGGCCGCGCGGGCGCCCGCGGTCAGTGGCGCTGTCGCGCCGACGGTGGCACGACAGTGCGTATTTTGCGCCGAGGTCATGGAGCTAACGATGCGTGCAGCGTTCGCTTGCGAGGTTCATTGCGCAGTTGGCTGGGTGACCGTCGCTAGGCTGACCTCCGACAATGGGCCCATCTTGGCCGGGGTGGTATTGTTCAACGCGAGGTTGCTTAATGTCTGGTTATCGTGGACTCCCCTGGTGCCGCCAGTGCTGCGAGCGAGCCAGCGTGCGCGGCTGGCCAGGGCGCGGCCCCGACCCCCTTCGCTCCGCGGACCAAGCTGCAGAGGGCGCTTCCCTCCGCCGAGGGGCGGGCGCAGGCCGCGCGCCCCGCCGCGTCGTGCGCGACGATTCCCGCGGCAGCAGAAGTGCCGGCGCAGGGGCAGGGGGATGGACTGCGGCAGCGACGACGACTGCGCCGCTAGGTGGGGGCCCTCCCTGCCACTGCCGCCGTCGTTTTTGCCGCGCGCGGGCAGTCGGGCCCGCCTGGGCTGGCGCGGTCTCGCGGCCCAGCTGTCGAGGAAGGGCGAGGGCGAAGTCGCGGGCGAGGGCGCGGACAAGGGCAATGACGACGACGACGCCGCCAAGCCCAATAGTGAGGCGCGACGCGGGGGCTAGAAGGCCAGACGTCGGCGCGCGGCCGCGTCGTCGCGAGCAGTAGCCGACGCCGGTGATGACGACGAGTGGCGGATTCGGCGCGCCCAGTGAGGAGGCGCAGGTTCGCGGCCGCGGCAGTTCCCGTCCTCGGGGCAGCGGCTGAGGCCAGTGAGCTCGAGGCGATCGTGTTAGTAGGGCGCGCGTCCCCGTGGCCATCCTCCCCCCCCCTACTGCGTGCCCACCTGGTCAAAGTTTTGCATGTGACCACGAGACGCCCACCTCGACTGACATCTATGATCGGCTTTCAAACATGTTGTCTGGCTTTCAAACATGTTGTCTGCGATTCAGGGGTGATTCAGGAGTCACCAAACACGTGCAGGTACGGCCTGGTTGAGCTCGTACCACTCCGGCTTGTGTGAACTCTTCTGTTGCCGCTCCTAAGAGCACGAGCGAGCTCCGGACATTTGGTGAGCTCGCCTTCCACCGTACCGCGCCGTCATGACAGGCGGCGGTAGCGTATCCCTGCTGAGTTGTGAGTGTGCTTGTGGTTAACAGCTCCAGTTCCTTATCCTTGTTGCCGCGTCACTTCCAGATCTGTTCTATCGCCTTCGTAATCTCAACTTACATTGGCTACCCTGCGGCCGTTTGGCTACAGCGCCGGCGCGTGCAAACAGTATATTTATGGGTGAAAAGCGCGCTGTTCTACATCTTATTGCCGCCGTGCTTTCTCTCGTCAAGCTTCCAATCCCCGCATTTCTAGTTTCTCCTCCTCCTCCTCCTTTTCCTCCGCCTGCTCCTCCTCGTCCTCCTCGTCCTCCTTGTCCTCCTCGTCCTCTTCCTCCTCCTCCTTTTCCTCCTCCTCCTCCCCTCGCTCTTCTCCGGGCCTTGAGCCTTCTCCCCCCTCCCCTCTTCTTGGCCCCCTGGGCCCGCGCCGCCGGGGGAGGCACCCGCACCTCGCGCGCCGCAGAGGTCCCGACGGCGGGTTGCTGCTGGGCAGGAGAGCGCCAGGCCGCGCAGGGTGGGAACCGTGGCGAAAAGGGCTGGTCGTTTTTGGCGGACCCCGATCCCCGCTGGGCCATCCCAAACACGTTCGTGTCGTGAAGAAGTCACGACGGGAGGTCTTGGGCCGTTCTCTTCAGTCCTCCGGGAGCCCTGGCCAGGCCCCGGGGCCGTCAACAAAATGGTTGGGGATGAAAAGGTGGCCCTGGGGGAGAGGTCGGGACTTCAGGTTTTGGCGAGCTTTCGGCAGTCTTCAGATTTTTTCCACACCGTCCTGTGGTATTGGGTCCTCGTTTTGAAAGGCCAGCGCCTCGAGTTCCCGCCTCCTTCCTCTTTTTCTTCCCTCATCCCATCCCAGCGAATGCTCTTCGCATGTCATAATTCTCGACCATCCTGTGGTGCTCAGTTAATGTTTACCAAAAATAGACAGCGCCCCGCGTCACTCATTATTTCCTTCTCCCCTCTTCCCCCTCCTCCCGCTTCTCCCATCTCTTGCACCCCTCACACGTTTCGTGGCCCCATAGGGAGCTCCACCGAAGGCCCCAGTGGCAGGGTTCGCTGACGGTTCGACCCTTATTTCGGCACACCCCTCACCCGTTTCGTGGCCCCACAGGGAGCTCCACCGAAGGCCCCAGTGGCAGGGTTCGCAGGCGGTTCCACCGTCAATGTCGGGACACCCCTCACCCGATTCGTGGCCCTATAGGGAGCTCCACCTGGGGCCCCAGTGGCAGGGTTCGCATACGGTTCCACCTTCAATTTCGGCTCACACGTTTCGTGGCTCCACAGGGACCTCACCTGGGGCCCCATTTGCCGGATTCGCATGCGGTTCCACCCCCATTTCGGCACACCTCCCACGTTTCGTGGCCCCATAGGGAGTTCCGCCGAAGGCCCCAGTTTCAGGGTTCCCATGCGATTCCACCCCCATTTCGGCACACCCCTCACACGCTTCGTGGCCCCACAGGGACAGCACCGAAGGCACCAGTGGCAGGGTTCGCACGCGGTTGCCCCTCCACTTCGGAACATCTCTCGCACGCTTCGTGGCCCCACAGGGAGCTCCACCGAAGACGATACTCACAACCACGGCACCCACAACTGCATATGGTTGGTTCCCTCGCCAGGCTGATTCTCGACCTCGAGATGCCGTCCAGCAGCTGCGCCTCGCCGAGATCTTTCTTAAGAGGGTCCCGAGGGCCCTAAGAGAGCCCAAGAGGGCCCCAATAGGCTCCCCAGCGCGCCCGAAGAGGAGGAGGGGGAGGAGGAGGAGGAGGAGGAGGAGGAGGAGGAGGAGGAGGAGGAGGAGAGGTGCCCGAGTTGTGACCCGAAAGCCCGGGGACGGGGAGAGGGTGGCTGTGAGAACTGCTGCACGCAGCGCCAGTTGCGGCCCCGTCGCTGGGCTTCTCCCTCGACGCACTGGCGCCTTCGGCCGCCAGGAGGCGTAGGAGGAAACCGCTGCGTTGGCTGCTTCGTTCACCTGCCCTCTGTTGATTGATAGGCTCCGGCAGTGGGCAGAACGAGGGCCAGCATGCGTGCAACCTCTCGGGAGCTCCACGCGGACTCCCTGGTTCGGCGCTGGACCCCCCGTGGCGGCGCCTCCGGCGCCGCCCCTGGCGCTCCACGCGCCAGGGGTGGGGGCCATCGCAGATCCAATGAATTCGCGCAGTTCGTCGCAGGTCCACGAAGTCTGCACAGACCATGGACAGCATGTCTTTATGCAGACGGCTTCACCTCTGAGCACAAGGCCACTGCCGGGGGCGCGCATCACTCGACGCAGGGCTCGGGGTGGACGAAGCGGGGGGCAGCGCTGACGGGGGTCAGCCAGACCCCTAGGCTCCTCTCCTGGCGGACTTGGCTCGGAGAGCCGTGCGGAGTCGGCTTCCCCTCACCCCCCCTCCGCTGACGACGCTCTGGCCTTCCCAGACGTCCGCTCGGAAGTTTTCGCGGGGCCTTGCATGTTTCCTCGCCTCGGGAGGCGCTCCAGCAGAGACCTCGCCGAGAGCTGCCCGGGGGTGCCCACATCGCCCCGAACGGCCGCCAGGGGCCCGAGTCGTGGCCTGAGCGCCACTCGGAGGGGGGTGCCCGCGACACAGCGCCAGGAAGGAACCACGGCCAGAGGCGTCCAGGCCTCCCGGGGTGGGGGCGAAGTGGACGGTGTCGGGGGATCGCGCCGCATCGCGGATGCATCGACGATGCGGCTCGACTCACGTGGAGCCCGATTTTCTCCATCTTGACGTCGCCGGTGCGTCGGGTCGGCTGGGATCGAGTGTCCGTAGATCTCCCCTCGTCTTGAGAGCAGCGCGACCGGAGGAGCCTCGGCCGTTTTCGGCCTCCGGAGGGACGGGGATCCTGGAGGGCATGGGGTCCGGTACGTTCTTCGCCGTTCTCGAGACCCTGGGGCCCTCCACGGGCCCCAGGACCGGCAAATGCTGGCCCTGGGGCGTGGTCCAGATCTCTGGGGTCACGCTGTGAGGTGATCACGTCGCTGGAGAGCAGAGACAGGCGATGGCGTGCAACACTCGATGCAGGCTGCATGTCGGAAAGGCCCACGCTGTGTGGGCTACAGTGGATCGCCATCTCACGAATGGCGGCCGCCGAAGGACCGTCACTCCTGAGGATTGTCGTCGCTTGATTGTTGCCTTCAGGCCGGTCTTGTCCATAGTCCTATATCGATCCGATTCGAGACCGATTACGGCCGGCCCGACTCGCGACTCCGACAATCCGACGATCCGAAACGGCCAGATGCTCGCATGGCGATGTTTTGCATTCTGGCGCAGCCGATCCCGCCCGATCCAACGCAGATCGATTTCGATCCGATCTCCGATTTGATGCTGACCGATCTCCGATTTGATGCTTCCTCCTCGCCTCCCGCGCTGGCGCAGTGCTTTCCCGTGCACCCGCCTGGTTGCCTAAAAGTTGGGCCGTGTCTGCCGCCGCCGGCCAAAGAGATTGTGCCGCGTGGCTCCTTCGGGCCTCTGCGGCAGGTTTCTGTGGGTCTCTCTCTCTCTTTCTGCCTGGGGGCCTCTCTTTGGGTCTTTTGGGCTGCTGCTGCTGCGGAGGAGGAGGAGGAGGAGGGGGAGGAGGAGGAGGAGGAGGAGAGGAGGAGGAGGAGGAGGAGGAGGAGGAGGATGAGGATGAGGAGGAGGAGGAGGAGGGGGAGGATGATGATGAGGAGGAGGAGGAGGAGGAGAAGGAGGAGGAGGAGGAGGAGGAACGGAGGAGGAGGAGGAGGGGGAGGAGGATGAGGCGGGGGAGGAGGAAGAGGAAGAAGTGGAGGGACTTCCTGTGGTCCCGTCCCCCCCCCTCGCTTTCTGCGTCGTGAGGCGCCCCCGGGCCCTCTGGAGCGGTCACCCTCGGAGCCTGGGCTCCGATCAGCGGCTCTGGGCCGCGTGGTTGTGCAGAGTACCGTGTCTGCTTGCAGCGGCCATGCCGTGTGTGCGGCTCTGGGACATCCGCGCGCGCGCGAGGTATCGCACACGTGCGCGCGCAGTGCGATGGCTTCGCAGCTGCAAGCTGTGGGCACGGAGCGCGTCCGCAGCTCGAGTAGCCCCCGATTTGGGTAGGCACCGTGGTCTCTGCCGTAGGATCTCGTCAGTGGCTAGGTGTGCCTCGGAAAGGTTCGGACACACTCGCGAATTATGTTTGTTTTGTATGCTTGTTTTCATCGGCGTACAGCAGCAGGCAACTTCTTCCCAAGCGCGTGTGCGAGTAAGTGCTTAGTGCTCGTGGTGTGATGCAGCTGCCCGAAGCAGAGGCATCAGCTGTGTCTGCAATCACACGCGGCTGGTGAACATGTGACCGCTCGCGTGATAGTGGTCGTGATTGTTTGCTGTAAGGTCTATGTGCACTCCTCCACCTGTACCATGAATGCATTGCCACGCGTGCGCACTCTCGATTGCGTGACCGAGGTCAGTCGGCGCCGCGGCTTGGGCCGCCGTCATTCCTGCAGCTTGGCAGCGAAGCGCCGTTCATGCAGCAGTGCCCAGCTTCTGTTGCATTCGCATTTGCCGCCTTTTTGCCAATGTTGTGGCATCGAGCATCGAGCATGATCAAGGTGTCGCTAGTGTGCCCTATCCTGGGACACCTCATCCTCCCTCTCCGTCCGTCCGCCTACGCTTCTTCCCACCTCCTCTCAGTCAGTCGTGTTTTCCTTGCTCCTCCGATGCATCCCCTTCGTCTTCGTTCTCCTTCGTCCCCCCCCGTGCTCAGGATCAGTCCGATCGATCGTCTGTTTTTTTGGGCATCACGGTGCCGCGGTCAGGAAGCCAGGGGTCGTTCGAGGTCTGTCGGGGGTGGTCCTGAATACCAAGACGGTTTGGTCGAACCAAGCATCGGTGGATGATGATGAGGGAGGAGGAGGAGGAGGAGGAGGAGGAGGAGGAGGAGGAGGAGGAGGAGGAGGAGGAGGAGGAGGAGGAGGAGGAGGAGGAGGAGGAGGAGGAGGAGGAGGAGGAGGAGGAGGAGGAGGAGGAGGAGGGAGGGATGACGAAAGATGAGGGATAGGGAGGAAGGCCGGGAGGAGGGTTGAGGAAAAAAGCGGAGAGAGGAGGAGGATGCGGAGGAGGAGGAGGAGGAGGAGGAGGAGGGAGGAGGAGGAGGAGGAGGAGGAGGAGGAGGACGAGGAGGAGGAGGAGGAGGAGGAGGAGGAGGAGGAGGAGAGGAGGAGGAGGAGGAGGAGGAGGAGGAGGAGGAGAGAGGAGGAGGAGGAGGAGGAGGAGGAGGAGGAGGGAGGAGCCGCGAGGGACGACCCAAGGCGGCCCCGAATACCCTCAAGACTGCGCAAGGGGGGCCCGATATCTCCTCAACTCTGCCTACGGGTCCGAGTGGCTGTCCTTGGGTGAGGGCGAAGTTATTGATTGTGTTCTTCCCCTTCCTTTCCTCTCCCCTCCTTCGGAAAGCAAGACAAGAAATTGTGAGCTTGACGGCACTCGCGTGCTCTCTGAGTGGCAA